CGAGAGAGGGGGAGGGTCTTACCGATTTTGCATGAGCTTAGTGAAAGCTCTGATTTCTAAAAATGGGGGGAAATCAGTATGCCAAGAGAATGGAGAGAAAGAGAAGAATGAAATTGAAAAAGAGTAGAAAAAAAGGGTATACCTAATGTAATAGAAAATACTTTTCTACTGATTCACTGAGAAATTTGTGGGAATTGTCTTCTATAAATTCAATTTTTTTGGTGAAATAATTTTAAGCTCGCGGGTTTTTGAACCAAATACAACAGCTCGAAATTTTGAGCTTCCCACTGCATTAGTGGGAATATTAAAATTACTTTTTATTTTAGGTTCCCACTATTTCACTGGTAGATTTTAATAAATTTATTTTTAATGACATTCTCACTGATTCGGTGGGAAACAAATTACGTGTTTTTTTGCGCTAACTAGTTCCCACCTATAATTTGTGAGAACGTTTTAAGAAAAAGGTAAAAGAAATTTTTTTTATTTCCCACTGGATTTTTTTATATTTCAGTGGGAACTGCCACTGATAATATAATATATCTGTGGGAAATTTCCCTGGAAAATTTGCAGTTTTCTAGCCGTTAGCATCGGGACGGGTGGCCAAAACATAATTACATAACTCGTTGCTCAATGCGGTTGTTCCTCTTTGATTCACAAAAAAACCACAAGGCCTAGCATTAGCCAGAGGGTAAAAGCATAAACACACGTCATTAAATTTATATACATTAATAATTAATGATGTAAAATCTATTATGCATTGTCAATAATATTATTTGTTGTACAAGTAATTTGTCTAATTTTTTATATTACTAATCTCACTTTTTGACTTACATGTAATTATATTTTAGTTGGCCTAATAGTATAAAAAAAATTAAAATATTAATGTGCAGAAATTAAACTCAAACTTAATAGAAACCTGCATTATGTAATTAGCGAAGTAAACGGTGGTATGAAATTGGATTAGAACTTTTCTTTTTCTTTTTGACCTTTTGATAACTTATTTAACAATCTTATGAGTTATGATAGTAAGCAATTTCATGATTTAATCAAAATTTTGGTAACAAGAATTTACGACGAGACATGTACTCGTTTTACAAAAGAGTTGCACATCTTGAAACTTTACGTTAATTCAGAAAAGAATTAAAAGAAGAAGAAGGAAACAATGATCCACTAGTCAATAGAGACCCCATGGGTTCAGGCAAAATCTCCTAAACCAAATGAATCTAATGGAGTGCCTACCAAAATAGGTGGCAAAAGAATATGAGAATGGTCTTTTCATGGCCACTCGAAAGGACATGAACAACGTTAATATTTCCAAATTCCTTGTAGTAGACACAGTTCTAGGCTTTAGTAGTGTAACTTTTTAGGGATTATTGTTAAACCGTTGGTTCGTGTTCTGCCCCTTTTAGTTATCTAATCGTCTTTGCGATGCTTTCATGGTCAATCCGAGTAATTTTATTGTGAGACCAGTTTTATTAAATGTCCATGTTTGTAAAATTGGTTTGTCATTAGAATAGTTCTAGCGTTTCGCCATAGATTCCCAATTTTGTTTTGAAATATTTAATTTGAATGAAGTTTTGATTTGAAGATGAAAATGTGTTGGTACATCAGTTTTCAAAATATATTCACTTTTTTTTTGAAAAAATATGAAACATGACTTATATCCACAAGTTCTAAAAACTATCACAAATACCCAACAATACCTTCATCAATAAAATCTATTATATTATCACAAACCATTGTCCTGAACATAAATAAATTTGGTACAAAATTATTATTTTTATAATAAACTACATAATACACTATCAGATAACCGAGAAGACGAAGGAGCATTGTTACAAAATAATAAATGGTGGGCTCTTTTATAAAATACATAAGTTTGGGACAATTTTAAAAAAATATAATAGTAATATTTTGGGCCAAAACCAGCTCTTGGGTTTTGAAAATTTGCCCAAAAAATCCAAATAAATTTTGACAAAATCTATGGCCAAACGAGTCCTAATTCACTACAAGAAAATAAGGCGATGACGACATTTTATAAATGTCGTTATAGGTCACATAAATATCGCAAAACCATCAACCGATATTTAATTTACATTTAAAACGAGTGTCGGAAATTTCAATATCGGAAATTTTTCGATATTTAAATTAGTATCGATGAAAATCTAGTGACATTGTTTTACAACATTTTATCAAATGTCAGTAAGCTCTACCTTCAACTTATTTTGTTTGCGACACAAAACAGAAATGTCGGAAATTGCATTTTGTTAATAGTTTTCTATTTTTGGTTTTTCATATTAAAAGAATAATGAATTTTTAAAGATTTTCATGATAAAAAACCATTTGATACTTCAGAAACCACACACCACAAATATGAAACAACTAGTCACTTTTGCAATCTTTTGTGAATAACTACAAACTGTAATTATCAAGATATTATATTGTGAGCAACGTAACAATACATAATAATGTAACAATAAATATATAATCGTTCTCAGCAAATATAAATTTTCTTTATATTAAACTAAGATCATCTATAATCTATAGAATTAATAATCAGCAGTAGGGGGTCTTTCTCTAAACTTTCGTTTCAAGCATTATAAATCCAGCCTCTCCAGATTGATCGCCAAGAGACCTTCCTTGAAAAAGTCTTCACCCACATTGTGCATCCAGTATCACAATCGACGCCACTGATCCATAAATCCAAACTTGTCGAACCTGCAACTCGTTAAAACATAAACAAGTTATATACGGGTAAAATCGAGTCCGTTGAACATTTTGGTTTTCCGGTAAGACAAACGGAGCAAGAATATGATCATTAGGAATCGGAATCTGGGCGGAGAGCCTCTCGTATCGGGGTTCGAGCAAGACACCTTTCCTCGGGGGCACCACAACCACGTCCTCCGGGACCGGTTCAAATTTCGAGACTTTGGAGAACATTATCAAATGACTGCACACGACTAATGAAGGGCCATAGCATCCGTGCCCAGCCGGATATCACGACACAAATCTTAACTTGTATCAGCAATGAATCAGTGATTAACATGAAGAAGATTATCCTTTTTTAGAATTGTACTTAGGGTAAAACTCCCCTACTATATAAAGGGGAAACTAACTTTTCATTGGACACAATGTAACACTTATATCAAGGTAATATACTATTATTTTCCTCTGTTCTTACTTTTGCTCATCAGTTCTCCATTAATGTGAGCCCGGGATCGAAGGCAGACACTTCATTAAACCATTATTGAGTCCGGGATCACTCCCATTATTGGTTTGGCAATTTATTACGTCTTTTATTTATTTAACCTAACGCCATTAATTATTTGTATTGAATTAATCTGCATATCAGTAAAACCATATATAAATTCAATTGTTATCCTTTTTTAGGGCAAACAGTATGGTGCCCACCGTGGGGCTAATTAATGATAATAGTGTCAATTTGATACAAATTTCCATAACACACTCTTTTTTACTCTTGTTATTTGAGATTTTAATTTCAGGTAAATTTAAGAATGTCAAACTCTCAATCTGCTCACTTGAGCGTTGATGCTGAGCTTGGCCACCATGGCGAGAACAACAATATAGTGCCCATCAACGAGGTTCCCCCTACTGACCCCAACGGAGCCCCCGTTGTAGACCCAATCGATGCCAACATGTGGCCATCGATGCTAACTTGCCCACCGACCAAGAAAATAATATTCGTGGAGGAGCCAGGTCGGTAGTTAGGGGGACGCACGATGGTGAAGACGGTGGGATCAATGAACGAACCCGAAAAGGCTAGATAAAGCTGAAGTTGGGGCCAACCTGAAAATAATAAAGATGCTCAAGGAACTGACGAAGTGAGTGGAATCGGGGGAAAAAAAGATCAAAGCCAACGATAAAAAAGTGGAGTCCTATAACTCCAGGGTTGATCAGATCCCAAGGGCACCCCCGATATTGAAAGGCCTGAATTCCAAAAAATTGGTCCAAAAGCCTTTCCCTCCAAGCGCAGCTCCGAAATCAATTCCTAAGAAGTTCCGTATGCCCGAAATTCCGAACTACAATGGAAAAACTGATCCAAATAAATATGTGACATCCTACACGTGTGCTATCAAGGAGAACGACTTAGAAGATGACGAAATCGAATCAGTTTTTGCTAAAAAAGTTCGCAGAAATCTTGTCAAAAGGAGCTATGATATGGTATCACAACTTACCCCCTAATTCTATTGATTCATTTGCTATGCTTGCAGATGCCTTTGTAAAGGCGAACGCCGGGACCATCAAGGACGAGACCCGAAAGTCAACATTTTCAAAGTAAAGCAAAGAGATAATGAAATACATAAGGAGTTCGTGTCGAGGTTTCAAATGGAACGGATGGATCTGCCTTCGGTCGTGGACGATTGGTCCATTCAGCCATTCACTTAGGGACTTAACCCCCAAAGCTCATTGTTTTCGCATCAGTTGAAACAAAACTTGGTAGAATACCCGGTAGTAACTTGGGCCGACGTCCATATCAGGTACCAATAAAAAATCAGAGTCAAAGTTGATCAGCTCGAGACCCCTTCCGGATCCGTATAACCGGTCAGAACTAGTGACAGATCTAAAAGACCTTTTGATCATAAACCAAGATAGAACAGAGATCGATATCAACCCTATAACGGAGATCGAATGGGTAATGGATCTGGATGCAACTCTGCGAGGAGTGAAAAAAGGAATGATCGGGGCCACAATATTCGGGGACTCATGAGCCAGAATGGTTTCGACAGACCACATAGGGCCAAGGAGGTGTAACGCCCCAAA